CTGCTAATATTATATTATATTATTATATATATAATATTATATTATATTATATTAAATATAATATAATTTAATAGACTTTACCTGTAGTTGGATCAGGTAATTGTCTTTTTTTTATTTTAGCTTCTGATACTGCTACTGTATAAGCGGAACTAAGTTTAATGAACCAAGCTGCTCGTAGCATTGGTACTTGATATTCGCAAAGCATCATGAATATTTCTTCTTTCTTATTGAAGTTAGGCGCCTTTTTAGCAAGAGCTATCAATGGTTTACATCCAGACAAATCCTTGAACCATGCCTCAATGCCATTTTTTGTTCTGGCAGTTACTGGCCAGAAATTATCCTTTGGATTAATCTGTTGTCTTTTTCTTGCTGTATCTGGCATTGTAGAAAGTTCTTCTTTTTTCGCTAAAATTGCATTAAAATATGCCCCTACTTTGGCAGCAGTGACATTACAATGTCTTGCAGTGCCAAATTCTTCTGACATCTGGGGCATTGTAGCAAAACCAAGTTTAACATTTGTAGATGTAAGTTCATCTTCTTTCTGTTTAGGTTCTTGAGGATAAACGTCAGGCGGCCCTAATTTTGGCCGTTTTAGTGGCCTCTTTTCATACAATATTCCCATCATGGTATAAAGAAATTATCAAAATTGATAGATGTCTATTGACATTGTTTAAGCATATATTAAACATACAGGATTTAATGAAATGATTTTAAAATTATGACTTCGTATAAAAGACTACATTCGACATATAACCTTTGTTAATGACATATTTACAATTATCCAATATTGTACAAGTAAAGACACAATCATTACACATACAGAGATTTCTAGATGGCGTGTCGTTATTAGAATTGTGAATCTGAAGTATATGAATACTTAAATATAGAATCTGATTGGTTATTTCTGATAGACTAAAAAAGGCACACCTATTGGTTGAATTGCTGATAGTTTCAAATCTACAAAAAATAAATTATAACTTCATAACATATAATGGTAAACAAGTGAAGAATTTTTTTTATTCTTAATGTGAACACCAATTATATATTTCCCAAAAATTTATGTTTCAAATAATATGTTTTTATGAATATCTCATACATTTATGAAATATAATATGATTATAATATGATATGTCTCTTAACATTAATTAAAAATAATTGAGAAATTAAAATAGAAAGATATATTTAAAGATGATAAAAACAATATATTATAATTAAACTTTTAAAAATAAAAATATTATGTATAATATTTATCTATTGGAAATATATACTTATAAATATATTACTATTTTTAGTTATTATTTTAAAATTTCTAGTAATACCAACTTAACAATATTATGAAAAATCTCTAGATTTAAATCCAAAATTAATATTAAATTTTGCTCAAATAATAATAAAAACTACGTAATTTAGGTTATTTCGAAAATATTATAAATTTAGGTTATATTATAATTAACGTTAATTAAATCACTTTAATATATTTTATTTTTTCTAATATTATAAAATCTTTTTTAATTGTTTTTTTTTTTATTTAAAAGAACGTAGAATATATATTATTATTTTTTGTTAAGTTTTGTTTCAAGTAGTAATTGTAATCAGTTATTTAGAATAAAACTTAAAGTTGCGCGATTAAGATGGTACGTACGAAGTGAAGTCCCTAAAAGTTAATAATTGCTTGTAAATACAGTATCTGAACATTATTTATTTCTATAACTATTTTAAATTCTTTTTAATGTTACATTAACTTTTTAAAAGTCGAAATTTTCTTAAAAATCCAATTCTAAAATTAATCGTATATATAATTCTATTTTATCAAATTTATCTATATTGTTAAATCTATATTGTTAGTCTTAAGTTAAAATAAAATGATATGTAATAAATTAAATAACAATGTGTATTTTCAAACAAACAATATATATATATAATGAAATATATTTAATATAATTATAATAGAATTAATAATAATTTCGTTATTTTTCAATCGCAAAATGAATCAAATTTGGTGATGGATTTTATATATTGTAATATGATCCAACTTTTCTATTAAATTATAATAGAACAAATATGGAAAATACAAAAGATGAAATTATATGTATTTCATCAGATGATGATGAAAATATAAAACAGGTTTGTATTTATTATTATAAATTCTTAACGATTGATATCATTTATTTATTTTTTATTATTTATAAGTTATAATAAATAAAGAATTTAAAAAGTTATATCATTATTTTATTATTTTAGGATAAACAAGATAAACAAGATTCATTTATTAAAAAATTAGGAAACAATTCTAATTCTCATATAAAAATAGAAGCTTCTTCAAGTAATTATGAAAAACCGAAAGAATGTGCATTAAAAAGAAAAATATCTGAAATAAATAATGATGTTTCTTGTTCTGAAAAAAGCTCAAAAGTATTTATATGTGAAGAAGAAAGCAATGTTAAATTATATAATATAAAAAAGAAAGAAGAAAAAGAAATAAGAAAAGAAAAGGAAGAAAATAAAACATTATTGAAACCAAAATTGGTTGTAAAAGAAAAAAAATTATATATTCTGTGGAGCAGGATGTATTTCCTATGTTTATTAGTTTATGTTTGCAAAGAGATCGTTCTGAAGATATGAAAACTATTGTTAATAAGTTAAAAAGACGTTATGAACAATTAGATCCTAAATATGTTAATTCCAAAGCTTTTATTAATTTTTTAAATGATAAAAGAAATGCTATAATGAATAGTGATAGTAAATTATTTGTATATATAGCTGAAGTAATGAATGAAATGAAAAATAGTTATAAAGGAAAATCATCTTTATTATTAAATAACAAAATTTGTTCTTCTGATGGAAATAAATTAAATAAAAATAATAATTTAAATGTAGTTACTACAGTATGTTCAAATATGTCATATACAATTAATAATGTATTTAATGACAATGAAATTATATCAACTAATACAGATGAAGAAAAACAAGAAATGGATCCTGCTATACAAAGAAAAATTAATGTAATATTAAAAACAATGGAAAAATGTAAAACATATATAAAAAAACTTGAAGAATCAGAAATCAATTTTGATGATGAAAATAATAGTAATTATATCAAACTAGAAAAATATAAGTATCGAATGGTGGAACTTTATAATAAATACTGTGAATATACTGGAGCAAATCCTGATGCAAATCGCATATACTTACAACCAAAGCATTTTCATACTACAGGAATTGTTGCTGTAGATCATGCTATTACAAGTTTTATTAATTCTAAAATATCAAAGAAAAATAAATTGAAAAAAATTGGTGCTTTTAGAGAAGCAATAATTTTTCCAGATTATAATGATATTTTAAAATGTGTTACAAAATGTAATGAATTGCATAATTTAAATTTAGATTATAAAAGACAGGAAGAAATTGGTAAGTTATTAAAATTTTTTTCAAATTAATATAAATATTTTACATCAAATATACATTTATTATTATAGCAAAAAATGCATTTATTGCTTGGGGAAAATATTTGAAAGAATGTCGATACAATGATTATTGGGATACATATTCCTTATTTCTTGAAAATGAAGAAGATCCTGCCTTGAAAGATCCAATGTTAGCTGAAAAATTGATACAGAATCAAAGAGAGGGTGAGAAGAGATTATCCAATGTTTTTGAAACATATGTAAAAAAGGAAAAAGAAATGAAAAATAAAGACTCTAAAACATCATTAGAGAATGAAGAGGATGAAGAGAATAGTATAGAAAATGACGATGAAGAAGATAATGATGATGAAGAAGATAATGATGATGATGATGTTAGTGAAATTGATATAGATTTGGATATAGATAAGGATAAAACTAATTCAGAAGAAGATAAAAATAGTACAGATGGGAGTGAAACATTTAAAAATAATACATGTATAAAAATAAAATCTAACATAGAAAAAAATATCACAAAAATAGAAGAAATATGCCAAACAAATATGAATGATGAATTAAAAAATAATAGTAATGATAATTCAAAATCAAAAATTAATGTTGAGAATATATCTAATTGTAAATATAATTTTGAATCGAAATCAATAGAAAATAATGCAGCATCATCACCTAATGTGACACCACATTTAAATATTTTACCTAATATAATGTTTTCAACTATAACAAATAATGAAATTTCCATTGATGAAACAAAAGGTTAGTGTACAAATATAATATTGATGGAAAATTAATTATTAAAAAAACAAAAACATTTAGATTTTATAATATATATGATGTGTATGTGTTATAGAGGATGATCCTAATATTATGAATAAAGATCCAATGGATGATAAGTTATTACAAGAAAAAGAAGAAGAAACAGAAGAAAAACCATTGTTACGAGTGTGCTCTTTTGCTAAACCTCCAGATACATGGAAGGATATACAAGAAAAAGTAGATGAATATAATGAAAATGAAAATACATTAATTGTTAAAGATGTAATAGATCTTACACAAGATCTTACACAAGAAAATTCAGCTGTTCGTCAATGTTCAACTATTCAAATTGAATCTAAGGTACTTCCTGTTGTAAAAGGTAATTATAAAACATTAGTGATACCAGCAGGTAAAAACATAATTAATGTAAAAAATATTACAAACAATTATGTAAGACTGACAAATTCAAATATTATGACTGCATTAAAAAATGATCCAGTTATATCTTCGCAGCAAAATACAAAATCTACAACTATACATTTGTCATCAAATTTATCCACAGATCAGGTAGTAGATATTAATAACCAAATACAAAATTCACAAAATAAACAAAAAAACACAACTGTACAAATTTCTCAATCTAATCAAATTATAATGTTACCTACAAAACAAAAAGAAAGTACCTCTCAATGTCCAAAAACAAATTCATCAATTTCACAATCCAAATGACTTATAGAAAAAGTAAAAATAATTCATCGCGACCATTGTTATGCAAAATTAATAAACGATAGATGACCAACGGATTACAATAAATAAACATACTAATTTTTTTATGGACAATTTGTAATTTATCAACATATAAGTACACTAATATATTACACTAGATAAATTTTTTACAAATATTTAAATAAATTTTATACATTAAATGTTTATTATAAATTTATTTGAGTGTATGTTCAATATGTACGTTTCGATATTATTTCTATATAAGTTCTTTTTTAATCATAGAAAATATTACGTAATATTATTTTCGTCAAAATAAATTCCTCATTTGTAAGATTTTCTACGATATCAAAATGATCGATATTTTCTCTTAACAAAATATATTGAACATTATCAACCATTGTAATAAGTTTCTAAAATAAGAAAAAAAAAACTGTAAATTTTTTTATAATAGATAGAATGTATTAAAATAATTGAGTAAATTATCACTTATTTAAATAACATGAGTACCTGAGCACACTCGCGTGATTCATTGATAAATACTGGTGAATCACATTCTCCATTGGTTACAATAACTTTTAACCCTTGGATAGGAGTATTATTCTTAGTATTGAGAATGGTAAAACTGTATGCGTCGATTTCATCTCTGAAATATATATATATTGCATATTAATATAAATGAAATATAAATAATTTATCAAAGTATTCAGATACTTACTTTGTAAGTTTTAAAGCTATATTATTACTAGTATTGACAAGAGGTTCCAAATTAAAAATGCCACCTATTAACACGATACCTTTTAATAGATATAAGTATCCATGTTTTGTCATTTCATCTAACCATAATTTATCATATAAAATACTGGACGCTAAATGTGCACCAGCGCTATGGCCAGACATCCAAACATTCCTATATATCCAATTTATATGAACAAATTTGTAATTTGTATATTAACAAAATTATAATGTAAATATTAATAATATCATACCGACATTTGAGACTCGAAGCAGATTTTAGTATATGTGTAATTGCTGTTTTTATCTGCGATATTATATCCCTAAGTTTAACTAAAATATAAAAAATATTGAAATTAATTAATATTTTTAGAATATTGTTTTCAATTTTATATTTAAAGCAAAATTGGAATAAAAGAAAACAAAATTTACCATTAGGACATAAATCGTAACCAATGGTTATAACTTTAATTCCTTTATTAACAAAGACAGGAGCTGCATATGCAGATATATCTTTACTACCTTCTTGCCAATAACCACCATGAATGAATATAAATATAGGGGAGTCTGAAAAAAATATTTAAAATATTGACTTTAAGTTTAATTTAAAAATAAAATATTTAAACAAATTCATTGTTTACATTCTAAAAAATTTAAATAGGAAAAAATTCAAATATCATGAATATATGATAATTAATTATAATGATTAATAGGTTTGGTTCATCAATATTTTAATATTTAAAGAAATCATTAAAATTTCTATTTTATACCTTTAGGTAAATCAGTTCCATAAATATCGTATTTAGTTCCTTTTGTTGTTCCATACGAAATATCAAGTTCACATTTTAAAGTTTTACGAGCATTTTCGGTAACTATAATAATAAATTAATCATTATTTATTTCATAAAAAAAGTATCAACTCATTTCATTTTATTTTATCATAATATTATCATTTTAAATAATTTTATTAATTTTTTTTTATTTTATTTTACCCTCTTTAGAAAATTTATAGTGATTTGATAATATTTGTATTTGATCGAATCTTTTGCTCCATTTGCTCGGACTATAAAGTACTTCCTGATCCTAAAAACAAAAAAATATAGTTCAAAAATAAAAATTCTCTACTAAATTTGAAATTTATAATTACCGAAGACATTGTTAATAAAATTTCACTATCACTTCAATAATAATTATATTATTATTCTTTTTTTAATAATGGAATAATAATTGACAAAGTAGTAATTTTTGTTCTGTTTATTATTGTTTTTATTATTGATAATTAAATTATGCAAGTTATTTTTCGGATTTTAAATTTATTGGATTATTTATTTATTTATTTTTAAATTTTTAATTGCTGAAATATTTCACAAACTCATTTCTAAAATGTAATAAAATATTTTATCAAGTATGTAATAAATATATGTTTTTCACACTTGCATTGAAAATTTATGTAGGAATACGCTCCATTTGTTAAATATTGTCAAAGTAGTTTTTGTTTTATAAAATACAATTTATTTACTTATAATTAACTATTTTAAGATGTAAAGGTTAAATTCTATTTTATGAACTTATGATATTAATTCATAAATATTTTTTAATTCTCACACTCTTATCCTATGTTATTGATACGTGCAAACGACTAACGTAACTGTCATAAATAATTCATTCTCTCTAGAGAGACGAGAGAAACAGGAGTATCATATCTTTATTATTACTCTATTTATGTTGTTACTTTCTGATATTACTGATTGCCATCTTGTTCCGATATCTGGCAACTCTACAAGTCAATGAGTTTTATAATTTTTATTATTGAATCTATATTGCAAATGAGAGCAAAATAAACTTAACATTTAATAGGATTTAATGGGATAAATATGTCCCATCAAAATATCGGTGTAAAAAATCGGAATGTTTGATTAACGATTTAAAACCTTGAATAGATTCAATTCAACTATAAAAACTGCTAAAATCAGCAGATTTTAAAAATAATTTCTTTAATACATTCTTTTATAATTATTCCTATGCATATATGTATTGTATTGTTTAAACTATTCGATGTTTTTGCAATAAAATATTAATGCAGAATAATTTATATATAAATTTTATTTTCAGAGAAATATTTCAAATTTTATTTCTATTTTTTGGAGTAACAGCTGATATCCTATTATTAAAAAAGTATAAAAAATCTACATGTAAAAATGGTCTTTATTTATATTTTCATATAAGAAAATATAATTTTTAAATAATTCATATTATTTATATTTATATTTATATTTATATTTATATTTATATTTATATTTATTATTTATATTTAAATATGTTTATTATAAATTTTTAGATTTTTTTATAATTTAATAATTAATTAATTATAAGTAAAACAAGTATCAATCAGTATCAATCACTATATTTTTTTTATAATAATGTCAATCGTATATAATATGAAAAATTTTTAAATTTTTTCATCTCATTCATAAAAAAATTTTAAAATGGCTTGATATATTCTATATTTCGGTTAACACAAAAATGAATAAGTCAAAAAGCCATATTTGGCAGAGAGAGAGCATAGAAGGATATGAAATATAATATATAATGTATATACGCAATACATATATATATATATACTTACATATCTTATAGCATGCCGTGGTGAAGGTAGCAAGAATAGGCTATGAGAGTCGAAGATATTGAAAACCAGAAAAACCGGTCCTTTCCTTTTGGCCCCACTCTTTCGTAATGCGCCATTCTCCACGGAGAAGTCACAGGTAGGTTCATAGCAGCTGATGTATCGAGTATCGTGCCACGTCGACGCCTACCCACAAACTACAGGTAAGAGAAACCTTTTCCAGTCAAAAATCCCATGATTCAACGAATATTTTGTTCGAGAGAACTGAATAATCCACAATATATGCAGTGGGATTATGAACAATAGTATAGCACGATCATCGAACTCTATCAGTCTCTCAATTGAAATCAAAAGCACTAATTGAATCATAAATGATATTTATTGAAAATTTGTACAATCATTTCAATAACAAAAAAAATTCCTTCATAAAAATTTAATTTTAAACAAAAAAATTGTAATAAAAAAGAACTAAGATGGTATATAAAATGATTTTGTCAATTGAAAATTCTTTGTGAAGGATCATCTTCATATCTACCTTGATAGTCCTTCTCAATTTACATTATCTTGCAACCGGTTCTCATGTGCATAGGTTAATTTATTTGACCCACCGACTACGTTCATTTCCAATTAATTTCCACGGCATTAAGTAAGTATCCTTTTATATCACATTGTCTTCATTGGAATTTGGATTGGACTGTAGCTATTAATAGTAACGATATTTGTTTGTAATTTAATATTATATAAATGTTCGAATCATTCTTAACAGAATACATGTAAAATATATCGTAGAACATTTAGAAATATAAAAAATCATAAATATTCCATACACAAACTCGCATACATAAATAATTAATTGTAATATAATTTATTTAAAAATTTTAGGAAAAAAAAAACTTCGATCCTGCCAGGATTCGAACCTGGAATCTTCTGATCCGTAGTCAGACGCGTTATCCGTTGCGCCACAGGACCGGCCTTGATTTGGTGTATTATATATTATCAGAAATAGAATATATTGTTAACAATATAATAAATATAATTAAAATAACTTATTAATATAAATAATAATTAATAAAATGAAATAATTCTTTTTAAATAAAATAAAATTTATAAACGTAAAAAGTTTAATTAAGATCATAATATATATATACTAATATCTATAATTTAATAATATTAATACAATAACTAGATATGACAGCAACGATTTATGATTTGTTAAAAGTATGTATGATATAAATATTAATTTCTTATGCTATATTCGAAGTATTTTTTTTTTTAAGAATGCCAATACTAATTCTGATTTATCTATAATAATCAAACATAATGAAGATATAATTACATCAATGTAGACTCACTGTAGATAACGATATAATATGGCAAAATAAATGATAGAAAGATTTCAATGGAATACGTCAGAATTTTTTATCAAAAATAGATAAAAAAAGATTAAGAGCAAATGACGATATTTAAATATAATATGTTGAATATTGCAAATATTTATAATAAAAACAATATATTTAAAATGTAATCGACTGTGTTTGTCAATTAATATATCATATTCTCTAATTTTTATAATTAACGTATAGTTAATTACAGAAATAATCTAATTTATTTGATAATATAATTTATTTACTGATTTTATATCAATAATAATTAATATATATATATGTGTTAAAATAAATTTAAAATAAATTGATGTACTAGCATTAAATGAAGTAATATATTATAAAGTAAAGTAATAAAGATAGTAATTATTTATTAGTGATGATTGTTGTATAGTATCAGTATAGTATCTATATAGAACGGTGTAAAATTTCAGATGTAAAGCGATATGTTAAGCTTGGTATTTGTAATACGAAGCATATGATATTTATTGTGCAAGTTATTTCAATTATTTTTTTTATGTTCTTCTTAATAATCTTTTAAAATATTAACATATTTTATATAACAATAAAAAAAGACTAATGTAATCAATAAATTTAAATTTTGATTCTATTTTGATTAATTTTTTATCAATTATATATTTTGCTAAAATATATGATTTTATTTTTATCATTGAACTGTTTTCATTCAATTAATAAAGATTGAGTTAAAAACAATAATAGTCTTCAATTCTAATAACGAACATGATATTAATAATATAAGAAAGAAAACAATGTGAATAGTACAATTATCGGCAAAGAAGTAAACTGTAATTATCAATTCTTAAATGATTATTTTACCTGAGAAATAAATATATAATGTTCTTAGCAAATTTATTTGAAAAAAAAACAATTAAACTTTTAACAAAAGAAATGTTATTTATGAAAAAAGAGAAATTATTTACGATAAATAAAAAATTTCATTCTAAACAAATATTTCATATTTTCTTATTTCAAAATGCAACATTATGCTTGAGAATGGAGTAGACTGTTTTTCAACTACGCATGCGTGCAAGCGTCTGCAGATTTTGCTGGAACCGATGTTAGCCGAATGCGATCGAACCTATACGAATAGCAAGCCTAAGTTTCCTGTGATCCAGGCCGACGCGACGGTTAAAAGAGACGAAAAGTGGGGTTAGGTGTAGTAAAGGGACAAGAGAGGAAGAAGGAAAGAGTAAAAGAGGAAGAAAGAAAAAGAGACGAGTTTTCTCATATTGTAAGTGGGGATAGAATCTTAGTGTGCAGCAGAAGGAACGTATAGTTTTGCGTCTCCAACCAGGCTGTATACGATCGACAAGCGAGATAGAGAGAAGACGTTGTACGGTGTATGCAAGAGAGAAGAAACGAATTGACAATCCGAAAGTTAGACAGAGAAGAAAATAAAAGGGAGCAGCTTGCGGAACGGCATGTCCTCGCGTGCTCGTGTCGTACAGAGTTTCTGAACGCAGCCATTACGACACAACCGCTCTCGGTGACGCTTTGCTGCGATAGAACCGTATTCACGCGCGCAGTGATCACGGAACAATCGAAACTGGACACACGTGTTTTTGAAAATACGAACGAAATTTAAACAGTGTTACATCAGTAACGAAGAAGAATACGTTTATTAACGTGAGAAACGAATTTTTTAAAAGCTATTTGTTTTGTGCGTGTACAGGGTGGCTTAGGGACGCCTCTTGACGCGCGGCGTCACGTCGCGCGGGTCATTAATAACCCAAGGGTGTCCGATTTGATTTGATAAATAGTCTGATAAATTCGCGATTGGAATAAATCGCTTGATTTTTTGTGATATCAATTCGAGAGAAAATTATCAACCATGTTTGATGTATTTGGATCTGTAAAGGGACTGTTAAAGCTCGACAGCGTTTGCATCGATAATAATGTATTCCGGCTGCACTACAAAGCGACGGTGATCATATTAATTGCTTTTTCATTATTGGTTACATCCAGACAGTATATCGGAGATCCCATAGACTGCATCGTGGATGAAATACCGCTTCATGTAATGGATACATACTGCTGGATCTACTCAACGTTTACGATTCCTGATCGAACCGGTGTCGTTGGCAAAGACATGGTGCAACCAGGTGTTGCATCTCACGTTGAGGGCGAAGACGAAATCAAGTATCATAAATATTATCAGTGGGTGTGCTTTACGCTCTTCTTCCAGGCAATATTGTTTTATGTACCACGTTATTTGTGGAAAACCTGGGAGGGTGGTAGAATTAAGATGCTGGTCCTGGATTTAAATTGTCCTGTAATGAGTGATGAATTTAAATTGGAAAGAAGAAAATTATTGGTCGAGTATTTCGCGACGAATTGGCATACACAGAATTTTTATGCATTTCGTTTCTTCTTGTGCGAAGTGTTGAACTTCGTTAACGTAGTTGGCCAGATCTATTTCATGGACTTTTTTTTGGACGGCGAGTTTACCACCTATGGTTCAGACGTAGTTAAATTCACGGAAATGGAACCTGAAGAGAGGATTGATCCGATGTCACGGGTATTCCCTAAAGTTACCAAATGTACATTCCATAAATATGGTGCGTCCGGTACGGTACAGAAATTCGATGGTCTCTGCGTACTACCGTTAAACATCGTCAATGAGAAGATTTACGTGTTTCTCTGGTTCTGGTTCATCATCTTATCCGTGTTAAGCGGTTTAACCCTGGCCTACCGTGCTGCAGTAATAGCTGGTCCGAAGCTTCGCTTGGTGCTATTGCGTGCACGCTCGCGTCTCTCGAAGCCAGAACATATTAATACGATCGCGGAAATGTGTATGATCGGCGACTGGTTCGTTCTTTATCAACTTGGCAAGAATATAGACCCGGTGGTATATCAACAACTCGTTGTGGATCTCGCTACGAAACTTCAGGGCAAAGAATCTGTTTAGTTTCCGTTTGTTATATTCATAGAATACCTCTTTTTCTTTTCTTTTCTCGCTTCTTTATTCTTTTATTCGATTCTTAAACATTTAATTAGTCGAGTTGTTCATCATTATAGTTTACTGTATTTTCATTATAGTTTATTCAAAGATTAAAAACCATTTTGAATTACGTTTACTTTTCATACATGTATATTACATGTGTAAAACATGTACGTGCATTCTGATATTTTTGAAAAATTTTTCGTAATTCATCATGGCGTACGTATAAAATGAATTTCCCCTTCGATCGTTATAAGAGAATTCGATTGGAGGTAAATTTTTGTAGTAAGATATATCGAGCGAAGTGAATGGAGAAATTAATAATTCTTTATTCTTTTTTGTCTCTCTCTCTTTTTCTCTCTCTATCTCTCTCTTTTTAGCTAAATTATGTATTTATAATCTTTATTATAAATACCAGATTAGAAATATCAGTTTTTGTGGACAATTATTTAATGATCATGATTTTTTTTCATTATCATTATAAAATTTCTCCGAATCCTTTGACTTTAAGAATATTCTTAGATTATTTTTATTTCTTTTTAATATTTATTTTTTTTCAATAACATTTTGTAACTAAATTCAATTTAGATGATAATAAAAAATTAAATATAGTGCTAAAAAATATTCTAAGATTTATTCCGAGATATCACTAAATGGGAGAAAACAAACGTGTTATTTTTGCTTTTATTTTTTAAATGTATTTTTTATTCCAAAAATATTTTGTTCGGCCGATATCTCCCAATAAATCTGGAAGCATTGGTAATAGTGTAAACATGATGGAATGTATAGATATGCACATCCAGTACATGCAAGATAGAGAGAGAAAGAGTTTAGTATAAATTGCTCTGCAAGAAAGAAAGATTACTCTTTCTTCCTAGAAAGAGACTTCAATTGTGTGATATAAAACGGGAGACGACGTTTTCAATTATTTTGCTTTTTCCCGATTTTTTTCTTCCATCTCATTATTTTCTTTTTCTTTTTTTTTTTTATATAAATTTTTTTCCATTTGCTTGGAATAGATTACTTTCGATTATTTTTTGTATTTTTTTCCTTGGATGAAACAATAATGCGAGAAAAAAAGTTGCAGATCTGTCACGAAATTAATCTTTTTGTTGCTTCCCTGACACGTCGTCTTCCCAGAAATATAACTTTGCTGCTTACCACTTATTATTATTTTTTTTTATATCGTAGATGTAGAAGCGTACATCTTGTACATTATAGAACATCTTATAAAATAGAGAATATAAAAATTTATTTTATATATATATATATATAGCAATAAAATGAAATAAACGAGAAGAGAAAGAAAAGAGGATAAGAAAGTGCGCGCATACGAGAAAAAGAGAGAGAGAGAGGAGTGAATGGGATCGCGTGAGAGGGAGAAAGATAGTCAGGCACAGATAATTTAGGAAAGAAAAAAATGCTATTCGGAAATTTTTCTTTATCCATTTTTTCGCTTACTTTTTTTCTATTAATATTTTTGATTTATTATAACGATAATTACAACATATATATTATATTATATTACATATATATATATAGTATGCATCGAGGGACCAAAAGAAAGAAAAGAAAAAGTGGCAAAAAAAAAAAAAATACAAAAAGGAGGACACCCGTAGATTTTTTTTCTTCGTTATTTCTTAGTATTATTTTTTATTCGTCCATAATTCTCCATAATGTCTCATTTTGCTGAAATTAAAAAAATTTATTACATATTTGAAATTATTATTAACTGCCGAAATCATTGTAATACCGTCCTATACCACATGCAATCTAGCTAAAATTTTAAAGATCACGAAAAGATCTATATTAAGAAAAAATAAAAGACAATAAAAATATGTACGCTTAGCTCATAAGAATTTAGAAAAAGAAACGTGCGCAAGTGAATGAATCGTTTTCGCGCCAATATTTTCATTATCAAATGTAGAAATAATGCATTTTTTTTTTTTTGAAAGATTCACGCTCAAAATAAGACTGCCAAGTAATCGAAACACTCCATATCATCGTGATTCTTGTATTTTATATCTATTTAGGATTGTACACGTGAATAGAATTTAGAACATTTTCTCGTGATTATATTTGTTATATTATTATATATTATATATTATATATATAATAATATAATTTATAAATATGTGTGTATATATATATATATATGTACACACATATATATATACATATTATATACTTCCTTTTCCTTACTTCATGCCAATGTTTTTTCCGATTTCGTTTAATTCTATTCGCATAATAACTTCTTAGAGGTGTTTGTTCCTTGTCTTATATTTTTTTTAATTTACTTCCGTTTATTTTTTTTTTTTTTTATATCGATAATTTTAATATTATAACCGATATCATGAATTTAATCTTCTGGTTCTGAGATGTTGAGAATTTTTTTTTTCTTCGAAAAAAAAATTTCTCAAATTTTATTTTCCTTTTTTCTCTCTCTGAATGATTCTCTATTGAAACATCGCGAAATAATCCACCGGAAGAGGAAGAATCAAAAGATGCTGAAAAGCAACGATGTAGTATCCCAGTGCCTTTGGATGCAGTTTTCTAACCTAACATAGTACGAAGTGTAGGTTATATTATATCCAAGGGTTATAATTAAATAACACGTTTCGTATTATATCTATTTATCTATGATAATCTATTTAAATTTAAATTTTTTAAACAATATAAACATCAATTAGATAAGATTAACTTATAAAAAAAGATTTAAATATCAATAAATCACTAAAATTACTCTTTTCCTTAATTTATATTATAAAAAAAAATTATAAACTTGCCGATACTATGAAATTTTTTTTATCAACACGGAACGTGTTAAATATGAAAATCGCCAAGAGAAGTAAACATCAAACTTTGAATTTATATTATATTATTATGAAAACCAAGGAAAAAAATAAAAGTGCCTATATTCTGTATGCATTTTTGTGTAATGAATGATGAAATTACATTCGTATATAGTGATAGAGCGTCGGTGCATTGTTCTATTCTAATGAATGTCCATGCTGCTTAGTGAAGAAACGTAATATAGCTGTAATCGTATACATGTACCTTGCGTGTACGTGCTTCCTCGCGCTTGTAGAAGCGATAAGATAAGAAAAACAATTATATATAAAGAAAAAAATATATATATTATATATATATATATATATAGAATTATAAAAAGCCAGTTAGCCAGATTTGCTGGAATAACGAGTGATAATTGATTAGTAATGACAATTGCCACGTTATATATTTTTTTTCCCCCCTTATTATTAATATCCTATTCTTTACTCGTTGATAGTGATAGTTACTCTTTATTAAAGCGTCCTGCGAAAAATTTGCATTTCTATGAAATCGTTATATTAGAAGAAAGAGAGAGCGTATATTTTGCTATTTGCGTTTTCATTCAATGCTTTTTGAACATAAACAATGTACTGCCAGAATATTCTATATATTTTCATAAGAATGTTCTACGAAATTCAACAAATAAAATGTCAGCGAGTAATTAAACAGTTCCCATAATTTCTGAGTTTCAGGACCATATTTCCCTTCATGATTACCATATATATCATTTTCATTATATATGTATGGGTAAGTAATAAATCGTTCATCAAAAAATTGAATTCATATATCAAAGATATAATTAATGTTATCAAAATATATATTTTTATCATATTAATATATTTATATATATATATTAATTATTATATTTCAACAAAATTTTTTTGTACATTCAATAATCATAATTAATTTTTAAAATTAAAAACTGTAAATGATAAAAATTTATTTTATTAGTAACTTTTTGAATATTTTTTTAATATTGGTAGAAATTGAATATAGTATTTTAGGAGATTAAGGAAATTCTATTGGTTAATAATGTAATTTTTCTTGTTATTTTTTTTTTTTTTTTTAATGAAAATTTTTTCTAGAAAAAGAAAACCAATTTTCAAAAACTATAAAGGAATTAAAAAATATTACAATTAAAACTATTATATAATTATATGATAAATCTTTTTCATGAAAAATTAAATATTTTTTCTAAAAGTGAAAAATGTTATATTACATATGAAAAAAACTTCATATCTGTGTTAACGTTTGGTAAGTTTAACCAATAACTATGGTATACTATAGATGGAATTTACTAAACTATGCAATCTCCAAAAGATTTCATTGTACGTGCACGTGTCGTACCGGTCTGGGATTGACGATCATCGAAACGAACTTCGATGCTCGAGGTCCAACCAATTTCGGTTCCCTCTACATCACATTAGGGGACATGAAGATTATTCTCATTTTACTGATTAATATGTAATTCGAAGCATAGCCTTAACGTTAAATCGAGCCATTATCTCACGTTCGAGCTATTTTCATAGATTCAACTATTTTTGCAAAATTTCTTTATAAAAGAACGTTTTTATTTTATGTTAAAAATTTTTATATAGAGGACAATGACAAATTAATACAATCCAGCATGGTTTTGTAGAAAAAAAAAAAAAAATATTGCGTTCTTTCCAATTTTTGTTAACTTATTTCCAAGGTAAGGTTATAAACACTGGTGACATATAATATATAATAGATACTCTCTAAATGCTAAAGATATTTTAAATCGATACCATTGGGTTGCAAGGAAATTTTAAATTAAAAAAGAGAATATATTTATTTTTGTAAAGTTCTTATGTAAACTTTCAATAAATTATGACATAAAAAATATACTTTAATAAATTTCGACATTTTTACCATTGTTTATCGATAAGCTACATTTAAACAAGATAAAAAAAAAAAGTTAGCAATTTCTAAAGTAGATAAATCGGATCATTCAATTTCTTTCACCTTTATCTAATTTTTATAAATATTATTTTTATACTTATGACTTATTGTCACGTATAAGGTAAAAAAATGTATTTATTGGAAAAAAAAAAGACTACCAAGATTACTATTATACATTATACATTAAAACCACTTTTCCAAATTTTAAATGTAATATTAATTGTTCGACTTTCGAATTATTTCATGATTTTCTCTCGCGTTACAAATGAATGGACCAGATATAGCAAGGAATAACGATGGAACTGGATGTGTATAATATATGTACACGAATGGAGAGACCAGAGGACAGAATTTTCTTGGGAGGATCCGTTCAGTTTGCCGGTTAGAAACGACCGCATCAGGGGCAACGGCCGGTCAAAGTCCTAGCTTCGACATTCTATCCCCTCCATTTCTTTGTTCCCTGTCTTTCTTGTTCACCATTCCTCCTTTTCCTGCGACTTTACTCCTCTTCCACCTTAAACTTGTTCCCTCTCTCGTCTCCTTATCTTATTTGGTCTTTTTCTTTTTTCTTTTTTTTCTTCCTATCCTCTACATTTATGTACTTTTCCTATCCTCTTCGATCCTTGTAATTTTGACCGTTCTTTCGTCCCCTCCCGTTTCTTCCTTTTGTACTTTTTTCTTCTAAATTTTATACAGATTATTCGCTTTCGAAACGATTTTTCGAATCGATTTTCTATTTTCGAGTTTTTTTTTTTTTTTTTTGCGGATTTTTTAATTCGATGTAGGTATAGATTTGATATAGAAATGTATATATTGTAGAGGCAATAGGAAAATAAGGAAGTTACAAAAAAAGAAAATAAAGTAATAATTAATATTAAAATATTAAATATCGATATAGCTTTTAGAGATACCAATTCGAAATACATTTTCCAACGTTTTCAGTTATTAATAGATTGTATAATTTTGAGATTATGCATTTATGTAAAATTTGAATTTACAAAAATACATATGATATGCAATATGATATAGTACGTATTATGATATTTGAAGTAAATCTCTATTTAATTTTCCATTTCTTTACTTATGTTTAATCCAAACTATATACATATTAACAAATTTTTTATTTGATCGATAAATGATTAATTCATCTAACGAAACTAGCTTTTGAAGAATTTTTTATATTAAAATTAATAATACATGTATGAAATTTTCATTACATATTTCACAAAGTTTATTGTTGGCTTATACGAGATCGGTTCTAACCTAGTTTAAAAATTAAACTATATATGTATAATTACCACTTGATTTATAATTAATACTAATAATCAAGATAGAAGAGAATAATTGCAAGAACAATCAACACAAATTCAAAAGAAAAAAATAAATAACTTAAAATATGATAATTAGGTTATGATTAATAATTAAATTGTTAAAAAATACAATTGTTTCTTCCTCATGTTATAAAAATATTTATCGTAAATACATAATTTTATTATTACAAATAAACTTTAACAGTTAATTTTATTATTAGAATAGAATTTAAGAGCTAAGGGAAAATTAATAATTTGGAAAACTTGGAAAAAGTTACTATCACTATCATTTAGATTGCCACGATAACTATTGTCCGTATCTTATATTTTTTGAAAGAAAACGTCTTGATAAAATACAATTAATCATCATGATTGTGCTCGATATTACATCCGATTGATTATTATCGTGAAATCATCTAATTGATAGAGATTATAGAAGTTTCATAAGTTTTATTACGCGCTAATCATCGAGATCAACAATTCGTGTGGATAAGATTTTATTTTCTGTTGTCATCGTTGAATTTCAACGTATTTGAAAGTCGTAAAAAGCAATGATTATTAACGTGGCGACAATAACACTAATAATTTTCACGTGAAAGAAAAGCAGACGTTTGATCAACTGAATAAGATACATACATATGTACGTAATATATTATACAAGAATTAATATATTAAAAGAGAAGTTTATTTCTATGAATGAGCGAAGAAATAAAATTATTCTATTCAAAACTTTACTTCTGTTTAACCCTAGATCCCATCTAACACGTTCACATCCTAGTTCCTTCATAACATATACCGTTTATTGATCACATTTATTTAAATTTACTCGCTAAACTTCGTACGTATTTAATTATGTAAAATTAATGCAATCAAAATATTTTTCTCCATGGGATGTCGAACGAGTCAACGCGCATGCTCTGATGGAACGCGCTAGGGGAAAAACGAAATGTCCCAACGCGGTTTTGAAACCGCTTTTGAAACGATCAATATGTACGATCATCGGAGATCAATTGAATCGATCGATCAAGTATCTTCGATGAAATAATAACGTTCTCGTTCTACTTTTAAATTGCCCGTAACAAGCGCGATATTATCTAGTCTTATCTAAGTGAATAAGTGGCTTTGTAACTCGCACCTTCAAAACCACGAGTCCATGGAGTTTCGTGAAACGTTTGTCACTCACGATGCTACTGCGCAATCGTAGTCACTGATAACGAGAAATAAGATTTACCAGCTTCGAATGTTCAGTGTAAACTGGATCGACCGGTCACATTGCCATTGTGAGAGATCTTCGTGCAATTTTTTAACCATTGCGATATTCCTCTTATTGTATCGGAACACGAAGGGAGAGGAATACCGGAAATTGATCGGTGGATGCCCAGATCCTGAACCGACTGGTCGAGGAATTATTCGTGGAAACGGATGAGAGATTCGTGATTTGGAGAGATAGTTAACGGTATTTCAAAGAAATGACGACCGTTTTAGCTACGTTCTCGGTCCTCAAGGACCATGTCAAGTGGAAGGTTTCGCAGGACTCTGTCGCCATTGATAACTTGGGTAATAAAAATGATGACACTTGAACTAGTTTTTTTTTTTTTTATTCATTTTGTTGTAGTCTTTCCTTTATTTCATTGAAATTTATTATTGAAATTCTTATTATAATAATCAATTGATTATTCGATGTCATTCAGTTTTCAAGATGCACTATAGATTCACGTTTCTGATACTCTTGATCGCTACGCTATTGGTAACAGCCAGACAATTTATCGGAGAACATATCAGGTACATTTATGAGTAATATTCTAGTCTTAACACTAGCTTTGAGTGTTTCATTGCTATCATTGCTGTTTCATTGATATCACTAAATATGTGTGAAATAAATAAACGCGATACGTTTCTAATTTTATCATATAATAGACTTCTAATGATTGAGTTCTCTTTTATCTGTCCTCGTGTGCGTTATCAAATAAAATTTTTGAATTTTTAAAATCGAGATTTATTTTTTTCTTTAATATCTAAGGGAGTCCCGATAATTAATTATTTAAAAATATATATATAAAAATAATAAAATGCTTATGTATTAGTTATTAATAAAAACGTAAAAAAATTCCATTAAGAGTCTTCTTTTTTTTAAATTTTCATAAGAATTAGAATAAGAAATGAGCATTGTATATATTTGAATCGATAATAATAATTATATATATATATATATATTCAACTTAAAGATATATTATCGTCAATTGAAAAAAAATTTATCATATAAAAAATCCTTTGGATTAGGTATTTTTTTTAAGCAGGATAAATATTTTTTTTTAAGAACAAGAAACATATTCTTTTTCAAAATTTGTATTAAAAATATCTTCTTTTTCTTATGCGTAATTTTGCTAAAGAAACATTTTATCAAATATATTTTCATAAAAATAACATTTATATTTGAAGAAAATCTACAAGCGTGACATTTATTTTAAAATAATATCATGTTTAATTTAAGACTTTTATTTATTTCTTACATAATATTAAAAAATAAATAAATAAATAAATAGATAATGCATTTATGATGATATATTTATCAATTAAAAATTCCTAATAAAAGAGGTAATCATATATAATGTTATGTTTTATGGATAAGGTGTATCGCTGGCCACGGAATGAGCGATGACGTAGTGAAAGTAATCAACACTTTCTGCTTTTTCACGTCTACTTACACTGTGGTAAATAATAATAATATATTCAATTTTATTTAATATTGCGCATAAAAATGTTGCTCGTAAAAAAAAAAACAAGAATCTTATTGAAAAACAAATATAAAAATATGCAAAAATATCTATTAGAGCTATAAATAATTTAAGTTTGTATTTAACGATTGTATTTATAAACGAATCGAGATCTCGGTTATCTCTATCACTCCATCTCGCTCTATCTCCGTCTCACTTCGTCTAATACAAACTTAAATTACACATAATTCAATAAATAAATCTAATATTTTTCTATAGCAACTTTTACATTTGTTTTGATCTCTAGAATCTATTTTCCAAAGTTGTTCCACGATTATATTAATATTTAAGTAAAAAAAAAAGAAAATCTTTAAATTTTAATATTAATAGAAAAAAAATATTTTTAAAATCTCTAAAAATTTTATAACTTTATATCGATAAAGAAAACGACAATACGAATTTTTTAGACAAAACACTTGAACAAAACATCGGTAGAGTTGGGTCAGATCGCGCATCCTGGCGTGGGACCAGCAACTTCAGAAGACTCCGTGGTACATCATGCCTACTACCAGTGGGTGCCCTTCGTTCTGTTTTTTCAGGCGATCTTCTTTTACGCGCCTCACTACCTGTGGAGGAATGTTGAAGGTCAGTCTCGCTATAATACCCACCAACCTATCTTGCATACCTTCGCATGCATATTATACGAACTTTTATTCTTTCGATTTTGTTATTTAAAAAAGAATTTTCCGTAATAATGTGCGTTATAATAATTCTCCGGCTCTTTCGTTTCAAAAACGAAATATATTTCTATTCGAATAATATGATAATTACTTGAACGATAGATGAGAATAATATAATTTTAACGTGGTCATCTTATTTTCAATTCTCCTAATAATTTTCTTAGACGATAAGAGTTGGATTCTCATTTAAACAAATTTCATTTTTACATGAATTTCCAATTTCTTTGTGAATATAGACGTATACCTGTGCACAAACAAAGTGATATAAGTGATAGTAAAAAATAATGAAAAGCAAAACGCGGTACATGTAAATTTAAATTTAATTAGGTAGAACATTTGTGACATAATGATTTACTTAATTAAAAGAAGTAAAATTCTTAAACCAGGAGGCCGTTTAAAGGCATTGGTTAGCGGATTGCATACAGCGTCAATGGCTCTTCGTGAAACATCTCTGAAGACCGAGAATGGTATAAGCATCATGTCGAAAGATGAATGCGACGAGAAAATACATCAAATTCGCTATGCTTTTCTGAATCGTATTCACTTGAATCGACCGTGGGCGTATTATTTGGGTCTATGCGAAGTTCTCAATTTCATTAACGTTCTTTTGCAAATATATCTGACCGACTGGTTTCTCGGAGGCGCTTTTCTCGGTCTTGGACAAATGTTGGCACAATATGGATCCGAAGAAGGTCAAGTCGAACCTCTTGATATCGTGTTTCCTAAGGTAACGACAATAATATTTGTTTTGAATATAATATAATATATTAATTGAATTGAATATAAATTGTTTATTGAAGACATGAAATTGCATGCAGAATATATAAGCTTAATATTTTATAACTGCAAAATCGCTTTATAACATAACTGCAAAAATTTCATTCTTTTCAAATGTTAAATTCACGTATACAGTAGTGTTCAGTTAACTGTTGCACTTTCTGTCCACTCAACTGTCGCTCCCCACTATTCTATGTACTCCCACTATTCCAATTCCCCCACTATGGAAATGGAACTCCTATTTTTGAGGCACATATATTCTCTTAGAAACTTAAATACACATAAAAAAATATGTACATGTATAACAAAATATAAATTTTTTTTTCTATTTCATTCATAAAAAAAAAGTTTTCTCTCTCGTTTCTCACAATTCAATAAAGCGAACAAAATCGAAAAGGAAGTTACCAACAATTATCCTTGAACAATTGATGGGATCCAGTTTCGATTTCGCAACAGTTGGCATTACTGTAGTAATATCGCATATATAAGTCGCATATATAACACACGTTTAAAAGTTTTTTGAAGTTTCAGTGGATTTGTTTACAATCTAGAATTTATACGAATTTCGTTTCACAGTTTATCTTTTCAAAGAAAAAAAATATCTTTTCGAATAAATGTTCCAGGTGACTAAATGTATCTTTCACAAATACGGTCCATCAGGAACTATACAAAACCACGATGCTCTATGCATCATGGCATTGAACATCATTAACGAGAAGATCTATGTATTCCTTTGGTATTGGTACATTATTCTCTCGGTGATAACCGGTTTAGGATTGCTTTGGAGGTTACTTACTATGGTGTTGCATGCCAGGTTATTACTTTATTTATCTATGTATACGTATCTCACGCCTTGTAGATAGTTATTTTTCCAAGAAATACGGATTCTTTAAACTAATATATCATTGACTGCGTATTTCTAAATCCATGACAATATATCGCGTGTGAGAAAAACTTCCGCGAAATTCTGATCTCACGCGGAATAACATCGGTATCGCGGATAATCGTTATTTTGAGGAAGTGCTCGTTCAAATATAAATTCCTACGCAATTGATGGTGCAATTGGGTTAACGAATTTACTTAAAAGAATGCGTTGAAATTGTTGGATAATTTTCATAGATTTTTCGGTTTTGAAGAAGAAGCGGAAATTGTCCATTACTAATTATTTTTACACATGATATCATTTAGAATTCCTTTTTCCTCGATGAATTTCATTTTTTAACTTTATTATATAATTAATATTAAGATTTTTTTAAATTAATATTCTTATATGGATTAGAAGTGAACTATTCAACAAGATAGTGTTCTCCATGGCTTGTCCTGGGAAATACAATCCGTGGAATGTGCTGGCCGTCACTCATGAGTGCCACTATGGGGATTGGGTATTTCTTTATTATATAGCGAAGAATCTGGACAACTATATATTCAAAGAATTCTTGGTGAAACTTGCCGGTGATCTGGATGAAAGACGTCAAAATATATACAATATATCCAACGAAGAGAAACCGTTAAACGATAAAGGGAGTCAATTTTAATTATCTATGCATAAGTGAACATATTTTTGATTATAAAATCATCAAAAAATTGAAACATGAAACTAAGTTATTAAAATTAAATTAAAATTATAACTTAAAATTATTAATCAAATTACAATGATATATTTATTTTTAGATAAACAAATTTTCAAATAATACGATTTATATTTTTTTTTTGATATTGATCTTTATATGATCTCTGCAAAGAAAAGAATGTAAATATTAATGTAAATAAAAATATGTAATAAAATATAAAGTTTGATGATTATGTCAAATAAATCAGTGTTGAATAAAGTCTGAAAAATAAACAGATCAATATCAGATAAAAATATCGATAAACTTAATAAATAAACATCAATAGAATGAATAAATATTATAAAAAGATAAGAGAAGATAAATAGATTTAAAAAGTATCAAATAATTTTTTTTATTTTGAAGTTCAATTTATTTATATGATTAAATTAACTCTTTATGTTTGCAAACAAATTGAATTATTGAGAATTTCTTAAATTTTATTTCTCTTTATTGAAAAAAATTTCAAAATTTTTTAATGTATTTATTGAAATAATTTCAAGAATTTTAAAAAATTTGAAGAAAGTTTTTTTTCATTTTAACAAATGATTATATAATAAAATAATGATAATATCCTAAAGTTTCTTCAAAGTTTTTAAAAATCTAAGAAAAAAAAATTATACTTAAATACAAATAACGTAATTAGCATACGAAATATAAATATTTAAAATAAATAAAATATTTTATTTATATATTTGCCTAGTCAAGATCAGTTGTAAATTACTTTTTATATATTTATATAATGTAATTTTTATTGTAAATACTTCGTATAATTTCTATTCATATGTATTACTTATATTGTGGTTTATAGAATTATGTAATATAATGTAAATAAATCTAAAGATGGAAAGATTGCATCATCATCAAATTATCGAATTTGATTCTATTTTTTACATTTCAGAGAATTTTATACCTACATGGAAATTTTTGTTAATATTGTATGAATGAAACTATATTTTTAATTGTAAGCATTTATTTGAAAGGAAAATTTGTTCTTTTCATAATTCTTGCCAATTTTTTAACATTATAATCATTATAAATAAATATCTATGTATTTAATAATATTTTTATTATAAAAATAAAAAAATTTGTTATATATATATGTTGTAAAAAGAATAAAATAAAATGAAAATTTAAATATTTTAAAATTATTAATATTAGAAGTTTGTGTTTTAATAAATATATAAATAAAAATTTTGTTTTACAATTACTGATATTTTTGAGGAAAATTAATATTGCATTTTTTCAAATACAAATATAATTACATACATCCATTTAATTTTATCATATCATTTTATTTATTATTATTATATATTATCTTAGTTACTTATTTGTGTACAAAATTCTTATGCATATTAAAAGTTATATACATAAATATATAAAAGTCATATATATATATACACAGTCAATATATAATTTTGAAGATAATATAGAAGTTACATAATTCTTTAAGTTTTTCAACGTGTATCTTCCTTCGAAACATCTCGATTAGAGTGCACTTATATGCACCGTTATGTATACAAGTAAATATGGGTTATATTAAACTGACCTCTTCAGCTGTTCAACAATAATAGGAATTATTAAATCGTTTAAGAAGTTGATTGGTTTTTGCAACGTGACTTATCATTAAATTAATCCATTTACGTTCATCTGTAAATTTTCTAACCTCATTTTCAAGTCAATTGTACGAATATAATAAATATATTTAGAATTTCAATAACATATTAAGATATACTAATTTTCTTAGAAGTTATTATTAAAAAATGATAAAAAATACTTACAAGGATTGGTAACAACTTCCTTCAGATTTGCCTTGGAAATCATAAATATCATTTTCTTTATAACGAGTTTAGTTTCGATTTCTAGAATTATTGGATGTAACGATGGTTTCAAAAAGAAAAATTGTTGGAAAAAAAGGATGGAATTTAAATAGATATTAATTCATCTTAATAGTGGCAATGGAAGACTTATCAAAAGATTGTAACATATGTCGGTAGAGAGTTGTATCATCGACACTAATAAAAAAACTGATTACCCAACTGTTAATTCGTTATCGGAAACTGATATTAAGAAAATATTTGAAAATCTGCTGTATATGGTAAGAAAATTTATAAGAATAACGTAGAAAAATAGAGTACAAAATGTATTAAAAAATTATATTTCTATAAATCATTGTATTATTTATGTATTTATAACTTATATTAAATATTATATACATTAATAATATTTTGCAATAAATATAACCTTAAAAACGAAACGAAAGGATGAAATAAACTATAAAATACTAATAAAATAGAATAAAATAAAATAAGAAAAATATGATTTGAGATTAAAAATTAAATATATTGAGGAAAATGAAGACTGAGTTAAAAATAAAAAATGAAATATAATTAAACAATCGTGCGTATTGGATCAAGAGATAAATTGCAAAATCAAATTACGAGATCTTTGTTCTCCTTTTATGAAAAGAAGAGTCATCGCAACCGGAACATGGTCCATTATGTTCTCTCTCACAACCGGGAAATGACAATTGTGCATGAGAAAAGAGAACATGCATATCATACGGAAGATTCTTTGATGATCGTAACATACGCATGCATTTAATGCAAATGTTCCGATAATTATCGGACACATTTTTAGTATTATATTTTCTATTGAAATGATTGAATCTGGTCATCTTACTTGTTTCATATCTGGTATTATAATTATAGAAATTTGAAACATTTGATGTATAATATGTTTATATTTTTAATATATCATATTTAATAATTTTAAATAATTTTAAATAAATATTATATTTTTGCACTTAATATTTTTCTTTTATTCTTTTTGAGGTTATCTTTTTTAATTTCTTTAATAATTCTAAATTTTAATATGTAAAAAACTACTATTAAATTATCCTTACAAAAGTTCATAAATTTCAAGATTATTTTGTAGTAATGTCATTAAGAACTTATTTACGCATTATAATATATGTCATTCAACAGTAATTAAAAATTCATTAACTCAAATGTTCATCATTATTTAAATACTTGGAATCCATATGTTAGAAGAATAAAATAATAAAGAAAAATAAATTTTTAGTTTTCAATGTGATTTATATAATCTTTTTGTAGTTTGTAGCAAGCCATACATTAAGAATCATTGTCTAAAAGAGTAAAGAAAAAATTAAATATCTTGAACTAAAGATTTTGAACTATAGTGAATAGATGAAAGAAATAAAGCATAAAAATTAGAATTTATATTCTTCAGACACTTTTGTTTCATTCTATAAGTTTAATTTTCGCTAATAGTTTCGAAGCTATATCTTTATTGTAATTTATAGAAATCTGATGAAATATCGCAATAAATGATCCGTAGGCTATCGTTGGTATTCTCGTACTGTTACACACACATGCACTTTCAAAACCAGTCAGACTGACTCACGAAATGGTAAATTTATTATCTACTCGCTCAGAAAACCTGTCACTGCCGTTCGTCAGTTGAAAGGAATTTCCGATTAAAGTATATGTTGCTCCTTCGCGGAACAGAAAGAAAGTTCAAGTTTTCGCGCCAGGAAGAGATTGATAAAATCTATTTAATTGAATATTTTCAAAATAGGTACAATATTATCTACTTCTGATTTTGTTTGCATTTTGACGATATATTAAGCACAAAGCTTCTTTATAAAGATTAAAAGAAAATATAAATTATAGATCCTAAGCAGATTTTTCAAAATTCTTAAACTAATTATTATGTTATTTGATAAAATTTATTATAGAATTTTTATAGAATAATCTATATACTTGTCTTTTATTATTTAGTATCTTATAGAGAAGAAAAACAAATTAAGACTTACTTTTATGAAAAGTAGCCAAAATTAATTATAACGAAAACAATTAAAATAACGATAAAACTCATTAGCAGCATAAATGGCATTCTTCATTGGTGGCAATGAGTAAAATATTCTAAAAACGTTTCAAGAAGCAAGAAGGATACAGAAAGAATAAGAATGCATTTCGTATTTCATCCAGTATTTTACTCTTGTACTCTTCGTGATAGGATTTTGAATGACCAATCGATGTACCTCTGTTAAAGATATGCGTGTTTTCTAAAAAAAAAAAAAGTAAACATCAAGTAATGCCTCGTTTTAACATCATAAGAATACTTATTTTTAAAAAAATTTTGAATAATAATTCAAAAAAAATGAAAACGACTGATCTAATATGTTATCCATAAAAGTCTTCACGAAATATTAACACATTGACTACCACTGTAGTTATATCCTTAACCACAATTTATCAGTGGAGCCACAGTAGCTACAGATGAATGGCATCATTGCATGTTATTTTTCAATAACAAAATTAATCAACTATGATTATATTGTTGCTTTCAAAGTAAAATTTGTTAACAGTCAAATTTTTAACTTTTTTTTCTCAAAAATTAATTCTAAGAAATCTTTCGGATAAGTTGTATAGGTATAATAGTATCTTGTATTCGTTCAGTTATTCGAGACGACGTGGAAATCCATGAATAAACAACGGTGCTGTTGTATCAAGATTCTATCTTTATTCAATGTGTGTCTCGTATTGGCGTGGTTACAGTGAACGTCCAGAGATTCAGAGACCACGTGTGCATGGATAATGAGGTTAACGTGCACTCATCGAGTAAGGTATTTACACATCGGACCGACTCGGATACAACGTGATCAAGTGTGTCCTTATAAGTCCCAGTCTTTTCCTTCTTTCTATCTACCAACATGGATAATTATTCAACGTATCCTTGGTTGACCAGTAATTTTCACTTGCTTTATTTAGACAACAATTTTGTGAGTACACTTTACAAACAGCAACTAGTTCTATTACTTTTCTTTCTCATTAAAGAATAAATATTAAATTGATGTTATATATATAAGAAACAATCTTGCATTTTTAGTTTAATTTTATATTCTATATTGATTTTGTGTACGGAGATAAAAGCTTTAAAAATTTAAAAAAGTTTTTTAAAAATTACAAATATTTTTATTGAAATTTAAAATGTACATATTTATTAAGAATTGAATATTATTTATTACTGAAATATTGTATGTATTTGTTATTAATATTCTTTTCTATTTTTCGATTTTGGTTTAAATTCGATTTAAATTTAAAATATAATAGTATAATAAAAAGAATATAATAAATAGAAAAATAATATTTAAAATTACGAAATAAGATAAGTAGATGAAAAATAATCTATATCAGTAAATCCAAATTTATCAAATTTTTTCTATTTTAGTAGCAACTATGGTTAAAAAATTAAGTTAATTTTTGAATAGCTTTGTTTAAATTGTTATTCAAACATTTATTCTTCTGTCACCTAGGTAGCTTACAATGATTTTTTTATCGCTGATGTATTATGAACGTGACCGCTTATTAAGTTATGTCTTACATGAGTTGCATTATCAGTTATTTTTAGCTCGTGTAGAATCTCCTCAGAATGTTTAATCAGCGATAAAATAATAAGAAAATTTTAATTAGTATTCTTTATATCACACAGATATACATATACACCTTGTATTGATAATTTCTTAGAAATATCACGATTACAATTGCTATTCGTTCGTACTAAGAACTTAAACAAGATATTTCAAGAAACTCTTATAGTATTATAGTATTAATAAATGTTTGTTAATCAATTTAATAATTTTAAAACGTTGACGAAAATTGGTCATTAAAAAATTTGCTAACACTACAATTTTTTTTTAATGTATGATTGATATAAGTAATCAATGTAATTTAGAAGTGCTATTTTTTTTGTAAATTTAAAATTAGAAAATAATTTTCTATATAATCATTTTAATTTTGTTAAGGTTAAATAGGAAAAAGTAATAAAAAAAAAAAAAAAGAAAAGAAAAAATTAAACTAATAGTAATTACAGAAAGTAGATCAATGAACTTATAAATTTTTTTGTAACAGCTAACACATATTCTTTATAATTAATAATATCAAATAACATCAAATATAGTTGTTAATAAATCTACATTTAAAATGATACCATGAAAAACCTATTACATAAAAAATATGCATTAAATTGTATACTTCCTATATACAATTTATTTATGACAATTTGATAAAAATTTTAATAAAAAAAAGCAATAAATATTTTCTTCTATTTTCTTATATAGATTCTTTTTTCAGATAACTAGTGAATTTGCAATTGCTATCATTGTCGCATTATATTATACATTGATGGAAAAGAGGACGAATGAAAATCCTATTCTAATTCGAAGAACAAAGAAATCCATAAAAACAAGCTCTCGATCGGTACACAATTCTCATTACTATTTTATCCACGTTATTGGATGCATGTTACACGCACTATGACAGATTATACAATTTAGCACGAAGAATTACAAGGACCAGACTGCGAGCAGAGTCGACATACATTCATCACAATTGACACGATTGACCTACAGCGGTTCTCAACCCAATGGAGTCTCGTGAAAACCGGTTTGACAGGGTTCAAGAATACAAACGATATCGGTGCTCTGCTCGCTTCTTCTCGTGAAAGTACAGTGACAGACGTTAAGAGGAGCTCCAAGGAAAAATTTAATAATATATATTAGAATTCAAGGAAAGAATTTATTGTATTATAAATCATTGTAACAAAATTTTGAATTCTAATGGACATATCGTAGATTATCATATAGATAGAATAGAATTGGTATAATATTTATATTATAACTTTAAAAGGTATTAAATTTTATTTACTTTATATATTTCATAACTTTAAAAACGTATTATATTTATATATTTTATATTACAGTATAAAATTCACGATTTTATTTTATCTGGGAGTTACTTATTTTAAATTTACCGTAGATCTAATTGTGCAAATAATAATTGTTTCGTTGAAATTTGAATTTCAAACGAATTTACGTAAGTTCATGAGTGAATTCTGAGAATAATTTACGATGCTTGGTTTCTAAAAGATCCTGGAGGAAATGCCGTTTAAACACATCCTGGTTAAATGATCGCTTACGAATAATGATCAACGGAATATTTGAAATTATATAATATCAAAGGCTTTACGGTTTTAAATAGGTCAGATACATTAGTTGGTACTAAGGAGGAGATGAATAATATTAGAGACGTTAAGTATGATTCCATTGTGTCGATTGGGAAATAGTAAAAGATGCATTATTGTAATTAAAAAAAAAAAAATGACACAATTCTCTAAATCGTGAAAGGATATTAATTTCTTTAAGTTTAAAGCGTCAGAAATTAAAACTTCGATTCAAATATATTTACCTTGAACTAGCTAAATTTAATTTCAATTATTTCCTGTTGAAAATAGCGTATCCTGTGAATTTTGCAAAAAATATAAGAGAATAATAAACAATTTAATGATATCATTAATATAAGGAAGAAAAATAATATAAAGCATACTTAACCTCTTTAAAGAAATACATGATAGGTATTATAACCTCTGATATATATAATATATAAAAAAGTAAAAATTGATTAATAAAATAAAAATTCTTCCAAATGAAAAGATAAAATAAATATTATTATTAAATGTATCTTTCCAATTAATAGATTTACAAATAAGAAGGAAGAATTTGACGAGGGAAGTCTAGTTCGACGTGGAAGAACGCAACTCTCGTGGAACGCGATCGAGTGCATCGAATGGCGGTCACGGTTTTTGAACAAACCACAGGTGACGAGGAGACTTGTAAGATTTATTGTGGACGATGCACGTGAAGCGGTTCGGTCGAAAAGTAAGGAGGAAAGAGCAATTTTTCGCTGACAAAACGAGTGATTGTCGTCGTTTATAAACTCTAATTAAGATAATTGCAACTAAGGACGCGTTTAAAGCGTAGCAAAGGGGACGAACCATTAAACTCGAACATATTATTTGGTTGAAGAGATAGCATGGAATTTCGATAAAAGGAAACTTAATGATTATTATATCTTTTATTTTGAAGTTCGAAAGCATTTAATTCATTTGCAGATGATATTTTTATGGAACGAAATTGAAACTCAAAATTCAAAAAACGTAATAATAAATCAAAAGGAAAGATTCAATTCATCAGAAAAAAGGTTTATATCTTTATTCTCTTTATCTGGTTATAATATTCCTTCCATAAAAATAAAATCAGTTTTCCAATCGTGTCGGTTTTTAATATTTTATTTAGTATTTTATATATATATATATATATTTAAGAATTTATGAGTATTAATCAAAATCGCATGAAATCAAAATTCTGCATTTAGAAAATTTGATGGACTTGTCGAAATCGTGGTCAAAATTCCTCTTTAAAATCATTAATAAAAGTGGCCATCTTTCTAGAAACGTCACTCGTTAGTATAGTAGGGGTTCAATATAATTCTTAAATGCTGCTTTTAGTGCCTTGACCGAGTTTAATGCACATACACTATAATGTGGGGTGATATTATTCAATAGGTTTATAGAGAGAGAGGTCACTTTCTGCGATAAGATAACAACGAATCACACAAGAATGAACACATATATTTTCGAATAAATTTCAATTGACTTGGATGATCTTGGATTCAGTGCAGGCATTCGATCTTTTCTCTTCGTATCCGTTACTTTTCTTTTTTTTCCCCCTCCTCTTTCATTTTTCGTCTCTCTCTCTCTCTCTCTCTCTCTCTCTCTCTCTCTCTCT